AACTGACAGCTGTTCCACCTAATGTAAAAACATAACCGGAAGTGGATTTCCAAATGACACGATCAACTGCGTAATCTGAATCGCAGTAACCAACAATATCACAATTGTTTTGCATACCATAAATGAGACCGTGAGTTTCTGTACCTTTCAAATAACGAAATACAGTTTTCACTGCTGCCCAATGTGACTTACCTGGATTCGATAGAAACCGACTAATCACTCCAACAGAATGTGCAAGGTYGGGACGAGTGCATACCATAGCATACATAAGACTCCCGACTGCACTGGCATATGGAATTTTTGCCATCTCAACTCTTCCAATATCATCTACCGGACAATCGTCTTTTGTAATCTTGATGTGTCTTGGAAGTGGCGTGCTCACCGGCTTTGCTCCATCAAGATTAAACCGCTTCAAAATCTTTTGAATATAGCCCTGTTGTGTCAACCTGAGAGTACGAGACTTTCTGTCCCGAACAATTTCCATGCCGAGAATAACACGAGCTTCACCGAGATCCTTTATTTCGAATTTTGATTTCAACCTATCTTTCAAATGGTTGATTTCAGATCGATCCCTACAAGCTATCAACATAAAGAAGTAGATAAGTACAAATACCACCGCTAGATCTATGATAGACACAAGCGTCTTTCTCACTACGCTCAAAACCCAACGAGAGCATAAACCAATCAAACTTCTTGTACCACTATCGAGGCGACTGTTTAAGTCCATAAAGGGATTTTTTTAATTTACAAACCCATTCAGTTTTGTTGTCGGAGACAAAACCTTCGGGTTGCTTCATATAAATAGTTTCTTCAAGATCTCCATGCAGAAAAGATGTTTTCACATCTAACTGTTCAAGCTCCAGATCATGAATTGCTACAAGGGCCAGAAGGACCCGGATAGATGTGTGTCAAACCACAGGCGTGAAGATATTGTCATACTTAATACCCTTTCGTTGTGCAAAACCTTTCACAACCAGGCGAGGTTTATAACGTTTATCATCTTTGACGTTATAGACCTATATGCAACCAATTGCACGGCTGCCTTTCGGTAATGGACAAAGCTCCTAAGTATAGTTTTTCGATAAAGCTTCCATTTCCTCTTGCATAGCTCCTAACCACTTAGCACAGTTGCTCGAAGCAAGGGCCTCCGAATAGTCAAATGGCTCATCCTGTACAACATGCAAAGCATACTCAAGCTAGTCAGTGAAACTCATATTTGCATAATCCCAATGACCGTACCTATTAGGAGGATGGATAGTTCTCTGGCTCTTCCTCGTAGGTACTAAAACTGGAATTGTATCGCCTTGACCTCCACCATCATTCAGAACTTCTTCCTGAACTGAACTAACTGGATCAGAAGTAGATGTATCTGGTGGACTAACATCTTCTTCAGATTCTAACCCCAAAGTAAAACCACGAGCAGATGAGCTGGGTACAATAGGACTGTCAATTATCTCATCTCCATCGGCTATAAGAGAAATGAAAGAGATAGTTTCCGGTTCTAGAGTGGGTTGTCGATCTTGATTAGACTTGAACATAATTGACTCATCGAAGGTAACATGTCGAGAATGAATCACCTTTCGGGTGACCGGGTTCCAGATTCGGTAACCCTTAATTCCATCTGTATAGCTGAGTAAGAATCCCTTGATGGCTCTAAGATCCAACTTGTCCTAACCTGTCACATAAATATAAACAGGACCAAATACACGTATGTATTTCAAACAAATATTACCCTTACCCCTCCAAATTTCTTCAGGAATCTTTTCCCCCAATAGCTGAACACGGTAACCGATTCACAATGTGTACAGCAGTATGAAGTGCTTCAGCCCAAAACCTTTTAGAAAAACCTGATATAACTAACATACATCGAATTTTATCTAACAAAGTTCTATTCATCCACTAGGCGACTCCATTTGATTGTGGATTGCCAGGTGTTGTCTAGTGACGGTGGATACCTCTACATGAACAAAAGTCTTTAAAATTACTACTAGTGTATTCCCCACCATTGTCAGATCTTAGCACTTTTAATTTTCTATCGGTCTCGACTTCGACTAGTGCTAACCATGTTTTAAATATTTCAAAAACATCTGACTTTAACTTAATCACATACACCCACAGTTTATGCGAGAAATCATCAATAAAGGTAACATAATATTTACCCCCACTGAGGGACTGTGTCGAAGATGGTCCCCAGACATCTGTATGAACATAATCGAGGATCCATTTGGTATTGTGTTTTCCAACCCCAAAAGAAATACGCGTCTGTTTACTTGAAACACATTCTGAACAGAAGTCCAAACTCGTAGGCGTATCAACTGTAATGAGTTTCCGTTTGCGCAAAATCTCTAAATTCTTCTCTGAAGTGTGTCCCAATCTGAGATGCCATAAACGGATAGCATCTAAATTTCTCGAACTATCCGCGATACACGCGTCAGAACTGACTGTCTCGCCTACCCGATGAAACAGGTTATTTTCTGCATGTTCGCCTTTCATCACAATAAAACTCCCTCTGGAGACACGCAAACTCCTATTTTCTATCCGAATCTTACAGCCAAGTTTGGACAGTTGTCCAACAGATATCAAAGAACGAATCATAGATGGTACATATTTAACATTCAATAAAGTTCAAATATTACCATCAAACATTTTGATTTTGACAGAACCAATACCCCGAGTGACACATGATGTATTATTTCCCATATAAATACTTTTACCTTTAAATTCCTCGAAAGTAGTGAAACAATCACGGAATGGTGTCATATGGCATGAAGCTCCGGTATCCAACACCCAACGCCTATCACTTTGTGGTGGTGTAATCGTTGCTGAAAAGCCTGTATCTTGTTCAGTTGTGACTGCTGAAGACTCTGCTTTATTCTTATCTTTGTTTTTCAAACTCGGGCAAACTTTTATCCAATGACCTGGTTTGTGACAATAATTGCAATTGCCTTGTTGCTTGGATTTCCCGCGATAACCAGGCTTACGAGACTGGGAGCGGCCACGATTTCTTCCCGTATATTGTTGATCGTCTTGGTCTCTTTCGGTAAAGAGACCCTGACTGTTGTGGTTGTTATCTCGTGAACTGTTACCGATTTTCATCTGAATTCGTTGTTCTTCACAGATCATCCCTGCTTTCACATCAGAGAAAGAAATAGAATCTCTTCCGTAAATAAAACTGTTAGTGAACTGGAAATATTTCTCGGGAAGTGACTACAACAAAATCAAAGCGAGTGCCTCATTATCTATGGCAAAAATAGAATATGTTGCCTTCAACTTCATGATATTGTCTTCGAATTCAGTCATGTGGGCCTGAATAGTTGTACCTTCCTTCATTTTGAAGAATAAGCACGACCTCATCAGTAACAGTCAGTTAGTCAAAGTTTTCTTGAGATAAAGATTCTCAAGTCTCTTCCAAATCCCTGCGGCTGTCTTTTTAGAAACGATTTCAGAAATAACATTTAGACCCATAGCCATCTGTAAGGTAGTGAAAGCCCAAGCCTCCATTTCCTTAGCCTCCAAAGATGACATCTCCAGATCTTTTTCTTCCGGAGCAAAGACTATGGAGTGGACATCGTTTTTCCTAAGTGCTGCTGCCGTAGTGAACTGCCATTTACCAAAATCACCTTCCCCTTTCCATTTTTCTATTCTAATCCCGGACCCCGATAATTTAAAAGCACCCTTCTGATAAACATTTGGATTCGGGTTGGAACTAGGACCAGAAAACGGATTTCCTGAATCGCCAGACATTTTACCAGGCACTTGACGTGCAAATCAAAATATACAATCTATTCAAATTTAGATCTAGCAAGCTCTGATACCAATTGTAGGGTCGGTCGCAGTTAAAATATCGTATTACAAAGTGATTTACGKTCYCAAAGWGATAACAATAAATCACAATGCAAACTGACCCAATACAACAAATGCGGATTAACGAGATCTATATATTGTATATTTTTGTCTAACAAATCATACTAATCCACAAATGTAAAATTAGCAGTTATATCAAGTATACGATCAAATATCAAAATGACATGTAAATCGAGACAACGAGATTTAACGTGGTTCCACTATCGAGGTGATAGTGTACGTTCACAGGGAGAGAGAGATCGATTTATTACTAACTGGGAGAACTTACAACGTGTTTTTACGAGATCTTTGGATCAACGAATCAGTTAACCAAAGTTTCCTCAAAAACAAAGTTTTATATATATATATATATATATATATATATATAGGGGATTGTTCAAATAAAAACCACCCAATTTGTATAAACCGTGAAAACTACATTCAACCAATCATAATTTTTAGTTTTGTTCATTTTTTTGTAATTATGAGAGGTTGATTAACCATTTTTATTGTGGAGGGTGTTAATCATGGATATTATCGTCTTCATTATTTTAATTCTAGAGAAATACATGAAACAATTTCATTAAAATTTCATTAAATATTATATGAAACAATTTCATAACTATATATGAAACAAATTTATCAAAAAAAGTTTTATATGAAACAATTTCATAAGATTAAACAATTTCATGAAAAAATTTCATAAGATTAAACAATGAAATGAACGTATGAGGGTGGTTTGTACGGTTTACACAAATGAGAGCGGTTTTCATTTGAACGCTCCCCTATATATATATATATATATATATATATATATATATAACAAAATATGATGAGAGGAAAAATAAAGGAAGAAAGAAACTTGGGGTAATTTTAATGCTATGCATGCATGCATATTTATAGCAAAAAAAGTGGTAGCCACATTTATGTTCATGTTGTTGATGATGAAATAGGTTGCCAGTAGTAAATTCACTAGATTGGGCGGCAAACATATGCCATGCAAATTGGCAATTTGAGACTTCAATTGGTGATGTCATTGTAGCTGCCAAACATGTGCCTTAAGTTTAATTATCATGCTTCCATCACTTGTACCATATTGTGTTTGCAAAGCATCCTAAAAAACTTACCAAATTAAGTTTTTCAACAATATAATGTGATAATTAATAGCATTATTGTCATCGAAGTTTACATATCAATATCTCCCTTTCTTCTTTATAATGTGATAATCAAGAGCATTATTACATATGTTCATGGAGTTCAGCTTTTGACGATGCGGAACCGATCTTCAACCTTCTTTGTATTTGCATTTACAAACTGCAAAATCAAAGAAATTTGCATTATAAATGATGTTTTGGTTTCTAAAGGCATTTCAAAATTAGAAAACTGTAGGTCATAACACGATACATTGCAAACCTAAATTTTTCCAACATAAATTGCAAAAGCTTTGGCTTTCTATGATCGAATAAATAAAAGTAGGGTAACACGTATGTATCTAATAGTATATACATACATACTACATGTATACATACATATATATATATATATATATATATATATGAGGGAGGATCAAATGACAATGCTAACTATTTAAGAAAATACGAAAAAAGTCAAATTACGTACGAACTCACATGTGATTTACATTAACGGTAAAAAAAAATGTGTGTGGGTGACTTTGGCCGCGTCTTCAAGCCGCGGGCAAAGTCGCGTGAATCACATGTGATTTTGTACGTGATGTTAGTGTAAAATTACATATGATTCGACCATTTTCTTATTTCTTAAATACCATTCTCGTTTGATCCCTACTCATATATATATATATATCATTTGAATTTAGACTGTATTCGATCTGCATAGCTATGAGCCCTGCATCTCACATTCTATTTTCCTACTACTTGTTATAAAGTTAAATGTAATTATGAATATTAGAAGTTTATGAACCACAATGATTCTTAATTAAGTTGAAAATCAACATCCATCTTCGATCTTCTTATTATTTTTTAGTGCAACTAAAATACAGATGTGTACAAGTATATATACACACAATTTAAACCTGGGGAACATGGTTTTGGTAAATACCTCAAAATTTAGCTCTATCTTTGTTGTATGCACTCTTGCATATCCAAATTGAGTTATTCTCGATAAGCTCCAAGTACCGACCTGAAAATCAATCACTTATATATGAGTAATTTTCTATAAACACAGACAAAGAATCTGTAAATATCACCTTTGGAGGGAAGCTGTCTAGTTTGAATCCAGCCATCCCAATAATTGCATGTACGGGTGCCTCGTAATTTCCGTTGTCATATGTGTCCACTCCATCTGGACCTTTCTTTGGCATTGCTTTACATTGGTTTTTATACACCGCACATGTTCTTTCATAGTTATGGACATGTCCAAACAAAACTAAATCCACCTGATTTATGCATGCATCAACAGTTGAAAGATTGATGTTACCATAAAACTCTCAATGGCATTAACTTTTAGAGAAAGCATGCATGTCTGCCTAGAATGCATTAGGAAGTTTCAGACATATTGTGACTATATATTGCTTTTGTATGCTTTTGTCTTGCCCCACAGTGGTCCAAAAAGATAGTGTCGATGTAAGAAGGATAATATATACCTTGTTTGCCACTAGCAAGGGTTCAACTGCTTGGACAAATCTATCATCAACACTTCCGCAACTAGAATACATTGGTCTGTGCCTGAAATTAATAGCAACCAAAAGAAATTAGTTAAAATAATCTTCAATGGGCAATGATGTTTCCAACTCCGTGTTGTCTTCTATCCATGTATGCATCTATTTACCCTGTAAATATCACCCATGGAGTTCTTGATCGATCAACGGCAGCCATGTCTTTGCTCATCCATTGATACTGTCACGAGTGACATATGCAAGTCAATCATCAGAAATCAATATATGATCATTATCTTTATTTAATTCAGGAAGCAATTATATGAAACCTGCTCTGAGTCTCGAGACCAATCATGCTCGGTTGAGATAACTACGAAATGCACACTCCCTTGTTCGATTGAGTACCATGGCTTATCCTTTGCTGGTGTTGGCATCGGGAAATAACTCTCATAAGCCACACCACATTCTCCTCCTGAGTCTGGCGTGATGTATACAGAGCCCGAATTTATATAATCCCTACAAGTTATTGTAAATCTGTTAGTTTTGAAATGACAATAATATTCTTGTATTAAGATTCTCATTCTGTATGATGATAATTCCATTTGTTTCCTCGTTTTCATTTCCTAAGGCCTATTTCCGTATGATATTAGGATAGGTCGATATCACCTAATTGCTATGGTATTCAAGCATTTTCAAAGAAGACATGGAATAACTATCTACTCTTTGTCTAGATTCAAACATAAGAGCACTTATATGGTCCATACCTTTCATGATTTCCAATTGCAGTCATATAAGAAATTTGCGAAGCCACAGGGCTAATGAGGTGAAGGAAGAAATCCCATTCCACCAGAAAACCTGTCGCATAACTTATATCCCCAATGTGGAATATGGAATCTATATTTCCGGATGAAACTTCATCAGCCATGGCTTGAACGACAGCTAGTGATCCAGGCTATATTCATATATACCATGAAATTTAAAACACCACCAGTCATAAAGTCGTCCTCGGAGAACAATGAAATTCTTTCAATAATCAAGTTATTATAGTCCATATAACATTTTACCTGAATATAGTGTTCAACAGAAGCATCTCGAGGGGCCTTACCCATGTCACCAAATGCTAGAAACGTCAGTTCGTTTGATCCCCCACTTGGTGGAGTTTTGAACTTGATTCTAGCACTCCAACCAGCTGAATTGCTACAGGATTAAATCAAAAATGTGAAATTAATTACTAGCTACATCTCATCCCCCTTCTTTTCACATTCTTTACCTTGGTATTTCCATTTTGTATCTATATATCTTCAAATTAATTTTGTTGGATGACTTAGAGATTGATTAATATAATAATAGATGAAAGTGTTCGGTTTACCTTCCATATCTGTAAGAGAATTGCGTTGAAGGCTTGAGTCCATTCATCACTGCAGAATGAATATATCCTGGATCATGCCAGCCGAAATCCTTTGCGGGGCTTTGTATTGCAGAAGCTGGAATTTTTCAAAACATGAAAAGAAGTCCAGAATAATCTAGTTTGCTTATCGTAAGAACTAATAAATAAGATGACACGTATATACTTATTAGAAAACCAGAATTAACATGATTTTTCAAGAGCTAACACATATCTGTTGATAGAAATACAAGAAAAGAACATAGTGAATGACGATGGGCAGTTTTCAATCATTATCAACGGGACATTAAAGCATTGGGTGCATAGTCGACATAAATCAAGATATATAAGAACTCACTGCACATGTTTTCTTGAGAAAATGTTGTAACATGAGAAGCTTGTGTTTTCCCATTAGCATACTGAACTTGTTGAGGGTTTTTGTCTCCGCTAACCCATGTTAATCTCATCTGCATACATGAAACCATCAGTTTAATTCAAGCCACAAAAAGCAAGGGCACGCCATCTGAAGTTTGTAAAATGAATCATAATTTTTAATTCTGATAACATTGAGAGAATTCTTGAAAAATCAGTATTCAAGGACCTTTCATCAGTTTCACCTGTAAACTCTTAAAAATTACGTCATGCATCATTATATTACATCAATTTTTTTCACAAGAAGGTGCTTACTGATGTCCCTGTGGAATCGATACTGGAGAGATGCCCATACAATGGTTTGTTTGGATTTGCAAACTTCAGCAGGTTAGATTTTGCTAAAACGCAAGGAATCTGAAATCCGGCACCAAAGAAGACAAACTGGATATCAGTTCTGATGTTGATAACATGAAACGTGAGTGATGCACTGCATGTTGTCACCAAACACTWGCCCTTTTGATCATATTTTTTGCATTCCTTCTTCTTGCAACCRATATAGCCTGGATCATTACTTACAAATTGTGCCTGCATTGCATTACCATTTTATTAACTTTCTCATAACATCTTAAAGTGTTTGTAATGCCTTAATAAGTTTATGTTAGCACCTTTTGTACTTCCACGAAAGTTGTTGTTTACAGGAAAAATGACCAAAACGCACCTCAACAATAGCCATAAAGCATACAGACCACTAAATACAAACAGATATACCAACAACAATGTAAGAGTTTGTGCCTTAAATCTACCTATACAGTTTGAGCATGCAGCTTCAAGTCGCATGAGGAAGTCATTGGTACAGGGGAATTGTTGCGGTGTACAATTTTTGCAAGTTAAGTGTAAATTTCATCACTTCGTCTATGTGAGATGGCTTTGCAACTTTATGTCGAAAATGGAAGTCGCATGTGGCAAAGAGGCAGAACATGGTGTGGTTGCAACCTGAAGTCACGTCCACCAGTTTAGTCACATGGATAGACCTGTTGATAGCACAACCCCCATGATCACCATTATTGTTGCTTTCTACTTCTAGGTCATTTCGACAGTGAAATTATTTACATCTCAACAAATACAAAA